CGGATATCCGAAGATTTCCAACTATCCGCCATCCTTAATAAGCACCATTATTATTGAAATCTGTTGCTTTTGTATCAATAAATTTCGGGAAATAAAAATAAAACAACCATGAAAAATTAAAATATTATTTATTTACTGTAAAAAATAAAAATTTTAAATGAAAAAGTCAGAATATTAAGATCAATTTAATAACAATATTACGATCAACATCAAACTATTTGTTCATCTTTAATGACGTGATTATTAAGATGACGTGTTATTTTTTGCCTGTAATTGAATAAAGAAAGACAAATATTGTTTAATAAAATATAAAATGACAAAAATTTCTAATTATTTTAAAATTCTAACGGTGGATAGAAAGTCCGGAGGAGCAATGACTTAGTAGTAAGAAAAGGAAGTTGTACTAAATATCTTAGTAAACATACAACTTATTTTTAATTTTGCTTAAAAAACAGCTGATTAAAGTCTTATAAATAAGAGAATAATCCGAACATAATAAACATAAATATTTTTAAATTCAAATCTTAAAACCCCGTCAAAATACTAAAATAAAAATGTATTCTTCAACTCTTTGCTTTTATTCGTAGTTGCTTTAATTGCACAAATTGTGGATTTGGCACCTCCACCTGCTCCTGTTGTTGCTATTGATCAGGTATTCTATAATTAAATATGGGGTCATGCATTTACGGAAATTTAAGAAACCCTGTAAAAGTCTAGTTTCCACTTATTGTAAAATTCTACAAAAAATACCGTGAATATGTCTATCGATTGTATAAAAAATAAAAAAAATATTAGGGCTCTATCACATTTCAAAGTCGAGATCTCGATACCCTAAAAATCAACGTAAAACAGGGGTTTTCAACTTAGAAAAATATTTTCGACCCCTTAGTGTCTGTATAAAATTTTTGTTCTAGGCTTATTCGATAACACTGGATGATAAAGTGAAAGTGTCATACAAATGAGATTTAATTCTAGCAATTCAATAAAAAATATTTTTCTTACCTCAACGTTTTCCAAACGTTGTTTTAAACTTTCAATTATATTTTGTGAACAAGAATCACAAGCATTTGATTTTCCCTCCTCAGTCATTTTGTTTGAGGATTATTTAAAAAATATTTTGAAAAAAATAATTATATTTAAATTAACTTATTGTAACACGAAAAAATTTAAAATTTATTTTAAAATAAAGAGAAATCTCTACACGAATATCTAAATAAATTTTAATCTTTTTAAAAAAATAAACATTAATTTTATTCGATTTACAATAAATCGGAAAAACAAGCCCCATCTAAAACGGTCCGACAAAAAAAAGAATTGAAAAAAAACAGATGGGATCAATAATAAATTTAATTTTTATTAGCAAAATTTTAACTTAATGGAGAGTTTAAAAACCCTATTCTAAATTATGTAATATAAAAGCGGAAAATGTAATCGTATACATACATATATATGAAGGTTTTTATGTTTTTTATAGTTTAATAAGGAGAATTTTCATCAATGTGACCCAGACATTTTTATTGGCAAAATACCGTCTTCCATAAAATATTTGAAAAAAGTATGTCAACTCAAAAATATAATGAGGCAAACTAAAAAATAAACGAAAGGTATACATATTTTTAGGAATTATAATAAATTACAGACCTGCTCATGGACACGGATTTTGCTATCCGTATCCGGATATATCCGTGAGGTCAATATCCGTTTGTATCCGTCCAACTTTTTAGGCATATCCATCCGCGGATATCCGCGGATATATCCGTTTTTTCTCAAAATGGTCAGCCTTGCTACAATTTTCAAAATGGTCAAATTTATTTAAATTCGAGTAACGGGTAGATAACAAGGTAATAACTGGATGCAGCATAACTAACCTTGCTTACGAATATCGGAGGTCGAAAATCGTAAGGCAGAGATAGGAATTCCGACTAAACGCTGCTTATCAGGGATCATACTGACAAAAAATAGAATTTTGAAAATTTTTGAGAATTTTTGAAAAGTTAAATTCCCGGTTTCGGGTCGAAATGAAAATTTCTGTTAACTGACCAGTTGATTTTAGCGCCGCAGGCGAAAATTTTGAGAATTTTAGAAGGGCCTAGGCCAAAAAAATTCACTTTTTTGCCCAATCCCCTCACCTAATTTTTTCCTTTTTCCCAATTAGGGGGTGGGTGAGGGAATTTCCCATACCCCTCTGAAAATTTTCGTTTGCCCAGCTAAAAGAGTACGAGCTAATTTTTCTCGTACTCCCCACTGAATTTGGCCTGACTTGTACTTCGTACCTTAAGTGGGTAGGCACACATAGGAGATTAGCCGACTTTTGCGGCGCGTACACTTGCGGCTCAGACATTTGCGGCCCAGACACTTGCGGCTCGCCCCTATTTTGACACTTGCGGTCCCGACACTTGTGGCTAGGAAATTTTCGGCGCAGACATTTGCGGGCCAAAAAAATTCACTTTTTTGCCCAATCCCCTCACCTAATTTTTTAGGTGAGGGGATTGTGAATCCAAAAAAATTCACTTTTTTGCCCAATCCCCTCACCTAATTTTTTTTAATTTTACCGCTATTTTTTTTTTTAATTTACTTAATTTTTTAATGAAAAAGTAATCTTAATTAATTTTTAAAGTAATTTTTTTAATTTTACCGCTATTTTTCCATGCAAATTTTTAAATATTTATTAAAAATCAGTACAATTTTAATAATGGTCATTTTAAGGATCAATAAATAAAGAGAATAGAAGGATTTGGAGAAGATATCGCGGAATTTATGTGAATTAAGAGAAATTAAAAGGATTGGTGAAGGGAGGGGGGGGGGTGAGTAATTAAGATTAATCCATCTAAGTCCCGTGATATTTCCTTTAATATCAACCTTATATCTCCCTAAAAATTCCTCAAATATACCTAGATTTCTTTTAATAATGGCATTTATCATTATCAAAAAATAATTTCGTCTCAAATTGTATTAAGTGCATCTGACCTTTATGTATACATCTATTATGAACAATAGTAATGAAACAATAATTACCCAGGGTAATTAATACATTGAGTTAAGGATTTGAGAGTTAGGATTTGAGAAAAATCTCTCATTATAGATTTGAGAATTGGAATCAAAATCTATTGACCGATATTAATTGAACGATAAATTAGGGTTTTTTATTTTAATTTACTTAATTTTTTAATCATGGCCGCAAATTTCGGGGCCGCAAATTTCGGGGCCGCAAATGTCAAAACCGCAAATGTCGGGCCGCAAGTGTCACAATAGGGGGGAGCCTCAAATGTCAAAACCGCAATAGTCTGGGCCGCAAGTGTCTGGGCCTCAAGTTGATAGCCGCAAATGTCTGCGCCGAAAATTTCCTAGCCGCAAGTGTCGGGACCGCAAGTGTCAAAATAGGGGCGAGCCGCAAGTGTCTGGGCCGCAAATGTCTGAGCCGCAAGTGTACGCGCCGCAAAAGTCGCATCACCACATAGGAGCGTCGTAGATGAAAATTTTTAAGCTGTAAGGCGAAGAAACCAGAGTTCTTCATTCTAGCGCAACAGGCGAAAATTTGAGAACTTCAATTATTTAACAGCCAGATTTCTTCATTTTTTTAGCGCCGCGGGCGAAAATTTTTAAAATTTTGAAAGGCCGAAAGCGAAAAAAATTCACTTTCTTTGTAACGCAGGTTAGAATTTTGAGATGGATATCCGCGGATTTGAAGCAGCATATCCGTATCCATCAGGGATGTCACGGGTTACCCGAAACCCGATACCCGAAACCCGAAACCCGGCCTTTTTTTCGACCCGATACCCGAAACCCGACCCGAGAAATTTTCTAAAACCCGACCCGAGAATTTTTATTTTTCAAAACCCGACCCGAAACCCGACCCGAGATTTCTCAAAATTTTGGCCTGCGGCGCAGAAATAGGGAAGATTTTTAGCTTAAGGATCCTCCAAAATTCTGAAAATTTTCGCCTGCGGCGCTGAAAAAAGGAGAAATCTGGCTTAAGGATCCTCCAGAATTCTCAAAATTTTCACCTGCGGCGCTGAGAAGGGAAGATTTTTAACTTCTTGGCCTTACAAAATTCTCAATATTTTCGCCTGCGGCGCAAAAAATGGAAGAAATCTGGCTTCTTATCCTTTAAAAATTCTCGAAATTTTCGCCTGCCCCGCTTTTTCTTGCCTGCGACGCAAAAGAGGATCAAGAGGTGTATTTGGATCAATTGGGGAGTTGCATGGATTGTATTGGATAGATATCTTGGGTGTTGGACATTAATCTCCAAATCCCCTGACATTACTCTTAATCAGGGTTTTCTCTCATTAATCAGGGTTCTCATCATATGATGGAATTAGAATTGATTAAGAGGGTATCATTAATTCTTCAAAGATTTGGAGAGATTAGGTTGATATAAGCTGGAGGGATTAGGTACTCCCAAAAATCCGTCTTAATCCCAAATATCGGAGAATTTGAGGGATAAAGTAGGATTTGGGATATATCGGGAAGTTGCACGGATATTGGATGATTAATCCTCTAAAAATCTGATCACACACACCCATTAACCCCCTAAATATCTAATATCCACAAAAGCTCCAAAAAAATCTGGCTTCATGTTCAAATTTTAACTAACCCGACCCGACGACCCGATACCCGAAACCCGATCCGAAGAAAATTTCGAAAACCCGATCCGAAACCCGACCCGACTTTTTTCTCAACCCGAAACCCGACCCGAGAAAAATTTTGGAAACCCGACCCGAAACCCGACCCGACATTTTTCTCAACCCGTGACAACCCTGGTATCCATCCGTATCCGTCCAATTTTTTTAAAAACACTATCCATATCCATCCGTATCCGCGGATATCCGCGGGTATCCGGATATTATCCGTATCCGTGAGCAGGTCTGGTTAATACCTAGATCTTTTTAGTATAAATAAGGATATATTTTAAATTGTATGTATTTATTGGAAAGCTGGTTTTAAAGCATAGTTTTATTTAATAATTAAATATTATCTTCCCGTTTCAAAAATTCTATTCGTTAACTATGTATGCGCTTCTCACTTCCATAAGCGTCTTCAAATATTATTTCTTTAACCATGTTCGAAGTATCAGTTAATGTTTCTTTGTGCTAAAATTGAATTAGTTTATTTTTTAATTAAGACATGAAAAATCGATTTGAAATATCAAGGTTTACTTACCTTTATAATAAGTTCAGAAAGTCCTGATAATTGGGGATGTTTACAACGAACTTCAGCGAATTGATTTCCTCCAGTTGTCAAAATTGTCAATAAAACTTCCTGGTATTTCTCTATTTTTATGCCATCCTCAAACCGAATTTTAAGTTGATTAGAAATCAGATGATTAAATGCAAATTTTAAAATACTATTATGATCGTAATTTTTGTAAATACGTAGTTTAGCCTTTCGAGAATGAATCTGTAAAGGTAGTGGATTCTTTGTTTTATCTCTATTTTCATCATATAATACTTCAAGCATTTGAGGATTAAATATAAATTGATGCAATTTAAAATAACAATTAAATATAACAGTATCCAAGCAAACTTTTTCAAAAACACAGTTAGAAAATTGCTTAATTAAATAACGAGAAATCTTCATTTCTTCAATATCTTTTGGAATGATTGGAAATTGTAGATTTAAAGCTAAATAAAATCTTGATCGAAGAATAATTTTCAGCTAGGGGCAAAAGGTCTACAGGCATACCGGAAAAAAAGAGTGATACCGTCGAATGGTATAGGTCTTATATCGTAACCTTTCCACCGGTATACTACTATACTATTTCCGAATTTTTTTCGTTTCGTTTCGCTTGAAAAAATTTTGAGTATCGTGCATGTACTTGTTTTGTACTACCAATACGAGTTTTTATTTTAGGGTAAAGCCGCTGCGGAAAGATCGCGCCGCTATTATCGATAAGTTAACCTTCATTATTAAAGTCGTTTCTATGTTTTAATACAGAAATAACCAGAAATACATTTGTATCATCATCTTTTAAAAACATTGGGATTGAATTTTTTAGCCCGTTTATCCACTAAAATTTATTTATTTTCCATATAAAATATTAATTTTTAACCTTATTTTCGAGTTCTTCATTTAGTTCAAATTCATAATGTTTAGGGTCTAGTTTAACGAATCTATATTTATTTAAATTTATTTCATTGACAGTAAACTATAGAAAATTAATTAGTATAAAAAATTAAATTTAAAACTACAATGTCGAGTTTAAATAATTCCATCATAGCTAATTTACCCTCATATTTTTTAACAAAATTATTATAAAAACGATTAGTTTGTTGAATATTAAATAATTGTTCGAAATTTAGACATTTAAATATATCTAATTGAACTTCTAATGGAAGAAGATTCATTGTTATCTAAATTTTTTGTCTAAAAAGAAAGAAAATTTTGAATATTGACGAGATCCACGCAAGAATTTAAAAAATAGTATTCACAAAACTATTTAATTACTACTTCTGTATGCAGAATTCGTAAATGTGATTCTTTGTTTATTAAACCAGATATAAATATCTATAAACATATTTTTGGATTTATAATATTTATTTAGATTAAAAACACTAAAAAATAGGAAAACAAAAAATGTTTTTTTGAATGAAAGAAAATTAAATGTAAAAAATAAACATAGTTTAATACATCAAATTGTTGGATAAAGTTACTGCGATGTTAAAAAAAGAGTGGGGAAATAATTCAAATAGATTGAATGGTAAAAGTCATAAAAGTCATTGAATGGTAAAAGTCATTAATTACTTTTCAAGATTATCAGTCTTAAATATTTCTTTTAAAATTATGGATAAAATGGCCATTTATATTTCGCTTTTATATTTTTAAAATATGTAAATTTAAATTCTCTCCATAAAATTTAAATTTTGTTTAAGAAAAATTAATTTAATTTTTTTTTAATTTAAATTTTATTTATTTTAACAAAATTCCATAAAACAATAATTTAAAGTTTATAATTTTTGTTTTAGAATGACTTTATTGAATTAATTTATTTCTAAATTAAAAAAGATATTAACAATTCAATACAGGATATATTTTAACTTAGTTTATTTAAAAATTAGCGAAAATATCTATTTTTTTGTGTGTAATTTACTGTATTTAAGAACGGTATTTATTTAATTTTTGATACATAATGTTTAATCAAAAATTCTGAACTCAACTTTACATTTTACATCATCTAACGTTTTATTTATTTTTTTTCTAAAAATTCATTTGCATTTTACCAATTAGCAAATTTATTTATTCTTTTTATGACCATTCAATCTAGGGTTGCGCCCCGAGCCTTCGGGGTTGAAAAAGTCGGGGGTCGGGGTTTTCGGGGTTGGCAAAGTCGGGGTCGGGGTCGGGGTTGCTCAAATTGTTCGGGGTCGGGGGTCGGGGTTGAAAAAAAATCAACGAAATCTGACTTGATTTGACAAAGTTATGACCGTTTGTTTTTACTCCTTCCACAAGGTTTTCGCGGAAAAAAGTTTTTGCCGCTACGGAGGGTAGGCCGGGCATGGTCTTCGCTACACGATGGCCGTGCTTCGCTGCGGTCGTGCTCGCTGCGCTCGCGGCGACCGTAGCGAAGCGGCGGCCGTCGTTCCGCTCGACATGCCCGGCTTCCTCCGCAGCGGCAAAAACTTTTTTCCGCGAAAACCTTGTGGAAGGAGTAAAAACAAACGGTCATAACTTTGTCAAATCAAGTCAGATTTCGTTGATTTTTGTGTCATTCGACTCAGCTCGATGAGCTCTTTCGAATGAGCTATTATTTGCATATTCGAATTTTTGACCCCAAAAATCAGCTTGGTCCCCCCTATGGTTCCCGGATTTTCAGGGGTCTGAAAATCTGGGAAAAATGCAAAAGTGGACCATTTTTAGTACTTTTATATTGATATTTTACCTTTTCACAACTTTTTAGACAAGAAAAACATGAGTTCTGTTGTGTTCATGAGCCGAAGTCTAGCCAAAGTATAAATTTATTTCTAAATAAATACAATCGGATTTCATGAGTACGACAGCTTCATACATAAAAACTTGACGGTAAATTGAAAATGTCGGTCAATTGAAATCCACCTCTATTAATTTAAAAACAATTTTAACCTCTAACTTCTCCAAACGTTCTTTTAAATTTTCAATCATATTTTGTGATAAACAACAAAAAGAACAGGAATTGAATTCCAAAATTTCATCCCGAATATTACTATAACTTTTTTCCGTAAAATTCTCTTCCTCTTCTACAAGTGTTTTATCTGCACTATCATTATTAATATTATCAGAATTGTTTGAAGAAGACCAATCTTCTAATAATTGTTTTGGTGTTTTCATATTTTTAAAATAAGTTTTTGAAAATTAATTATTAAATTGTTTTGCTTACAATTAAATTTCTCATTTTGATACATGTTTAGGCAAAAAATGCAAAAATGTCTTTGACAGATCAAGGACCTTGAGTCAAGAAAAAATAAAGGATTATTTTTGCCTGGATCCAGCCCTCTAATCTCGATTTTTATATTTTGACGGCTATCATGAGATTAAGCGGGATATATGTATATTTAAAGGGATATTATAAAATTTGAAGGTATATTGAAGGAGTAAGTCAGTTTGAGGAGGATTTGACCGGATATCTAGGACTATAAAGGGATTTTAGACGATTAAGAAGATTCGGAGGACTAAGTTGGCTTCGCCTTCGGGCAAAAAATATTTGCAAATACCTAGACTGATTCACAGAAATACACATTCACTTACATGTTTTGAAATAAATTCTTTCTACAAAAAACCTTTATTTTTACTTGGCTTGTTTTTCAATTGGATTTTTTGACCTACATATATTTTTTTCATTTTTCTTTCTCCGTCTATATTTCCAATACATATTTTGGCTTGCTTTTTTGGATGATTTTTATATTTTTTTATATTTTTTAAAAGAAGAAATCAGTTTTCAGAAAATCATTTTGAATATGAAAACACCAAAACACTTAAAAAAATGGTCATTTTCTGCAATTAATTCGGATAATAAAAATAAAATTGAGGATGAAACACTTGTAGAGGAAGTAGATAATTTTACAGAATCATTTAGTATTGATGGGCTGTCTACTACGTGTGAATCTTGTTGTCCATCAAAAAATATTATTAAAGGTTTAAAACAACGTGTGGAGAAATTAGAGGTTAAAATTATTTTTATTTGAATAATCAGAGTAAATTCCAATTGTACGAAGATTTCATTTTACTGTCCAACTTTTCTGCGCGACGTCTTCGTACAAATGAGAATCCAACTTTATTTAAAAATATTTTTATTTTAGTTGAAATTGAAAAATAATAATCTTTATCTGGAGAATAATAATTTAAAGATGCAAATGGCAAGTTTTTCTTGTTTCGTTTTTTGTCTGAGCTTTATTTCTTTTTAGAAAATTCAAAAAATAAATTCTGACCATAAAAACGAAATTGAAGAATTAAAACAAAATTCTCAAAAATTAATTGAAGAAAATGCTAAACAATTAAAGGTTGAAAATGATATTTCTTTAAAACAAAAGGATGAGAAAATTATTTGTTTGGAGGAAGAAATTAATAAGGTAAATAATTAATTTAGTTGTTAATATTTAAATCACATTTCAAATTTTGTGTTGGAATTAAAAGTAGTTAACCACCCCACTTTATTTCCCTTTTTCCCACAAAATTTCCAGAGCAGAAAAGGTTTGGGAAGAGGGCGGGTCTTTAGTAGTTAGTAATACCACTTTTTAGCGGGACAATTAATGACCTTTTTGGCGCAACCAATAGGTATAGGGGGTTCTCCTTTTGATCCTAAAGGTTTAGGGGGTTTCCTTTTGATCTTCTAAGGGTTTTGGAGGGGTCTAATTAAGATTAATTACAGTATACCAACTTCGCGCAAATTTTTTCAAAAGACAATCTAAAGGTTTAGGGGGTTTCCTTTTAATATCCTGAGGGTATTGGAGGAGTCTAATTAAGATTAATTACAGTATACCAATTTCGCGCAATGTTTCTCAAGAAGGGTTTTCTTTTGTTTTTAAGAGCTTTGTAGTTAACTGTCTTTTCATATTTTTGGCGCAATGTTTCTCAAGAAGCAACCCAAATGTTTAGCAGGGTTTTAAAAAGGGTTTCTGATTAATTATCTTTTATCATAATTTTCTTTTTGTCATTGGTTTTGTGAGGCAACCCAAAGGATTAGAACAAGTTTCAGTTTAATTTTACCCACTGTTTAAAGAAGTTTTTTTGAGTCTGGATGTTTTTAAGATAATCAACAAAAGTTTTAGAGGTCTGTTGTTATCCGTTTTTCCTCAGAATTTTTGAGGGTTTTAATTAAGATTGATTAACTTTTAACATATTGGCGCAAGTCTTTTAACAAAACCTTTTCACACGAGATTTTAACGCTCTAACTGATTAATTATTTTTATGTTTTTTGACACAACCCTAAAGCTATAAGATGTTTTATTTTTGAGATTTCAGCAGTTTTTTGGTGTTTTTTTTGACTATGAATTATCTATGAGTTATTTTTTTCACTGAAGAATTTTTGTGGAACCGTAATGTTTAGTTGCATTTTCTTCAGAATTTAAATGTGATTAATTAATGATAATTTTTTGAGCAAACTTTTAATAAAGTTTAGGGTGGTTTCCCTTAGATATCAAGATACTTTTCCTCATAGTTTTTGGTAAATGATTATTTGCTGATAATTTATCAAAAAATCAAATCTTTTTCTCATAAAATTTAAATATTCCTTTTCTATTAAACGTTTCTTTTCTAATCTTATTTTAACTAAATATAAAATTTTTATTTTAAAAATCTGTCAATCAAATATGCAAATTTAATCTCTATATCTAATCTAAATTCAAAATTTTTCTTTTATTTTTTAAAATCTATCAATCAATCATGCAAATTTAATCTAAATATCTAATCTAAATTCAAATTTTCTCTTTTATTTTTAAATTCTGTCAATCAAATATGCTAATTTTATCTAAATTCAGATCTTTTTTTTTATTTTTAAAATCTATCAATCAATCATGCAAATTTAATCTAAATATCTAATCTAAATTCAAATTTTCTCTTTTATTTTTAAATTCTGTCAATCAAATATGCAAATTTAATTACAATATCTAATCTAAATTAAAATTTTTTCTTTTATTTTTTAAAATCTATCAATCAAGTATGCAAATTTAATCTATTCAAATATTTTCTTTTATCTTTTAAAAATCTATCAATCAAATATGCAAATTTAATCTATATTCAAATATTTTCTTTTATCTTTTAAAAATCTATCAATCAAATATGCAAATTTAATCTAAATATCTAATCTAAATTCAAATCCTTATTTTTTAAAAATCTGTCAATCAAATATGCTAATTTAATTTTAAATCTATTCTAAAAAGGGTTGGCTTTGTCTTTTAAAATCTGTCAATCAAATATGCTAATTTTATTTTAAATCTAATCTAAAAAGGGTTGGCTTTATTCTTTAAATTTTGTCAATCAAATCTAATATAGTTCAAATAGTGTAGGGGTGGGCTTTATTTTTAAAAAATTGATTAAAAATATCATGTATATAATCGAGTGATCAAAGTAAATGAGTGGCCAATCAAATGATCTAATAATCAGCTGAGTGATTAACAAACTATCACATGATCAATCAAATAAACGAGTGATCATTGAAATTTAATAAAAATGTGAATGAGTGATCAGATGAGTGATCAAGTGATAAAGTTATTAAAAGTGATCAAACTACAATCAGTTTATTATGTGAGCAATTAATTGATCGAAATCAATCGAGTGATCAATATTTAAAAATGACAATCAAAATGATCAACAGAGGGAGTGATCATTTTTGATCAACGATTGATCAGATCAACCGGAGTTTACTAAAACTATCATTTAAAAATTTTTAATTATTTTTTACTGTTTTCATTTTCAAACCCCCCAGAATTTGAAAACCCCAAAAGAACAAGAGTTAAATAGGTAAAATCTATTAAAATTTAATTCTCATCTTTTAAATAAAGGTGTAGGGGAAGGACTACTAAATTTTTAACTGCTGATGAAAAGATTTTGGGGGATTCGTTTGTATATAAATAGGTTTAAAGTTTTTTTAAAATTATTTCAAAATGAAATTTAAATTAATTATTATAACATTATTTCTCCATAAAATTTTAGCTGAAGCTAAAAATTTATCTGAATATAAAATATGGCAGTGTGAGAGAGCTATAACTTTATTTAGAAGAAAACCTCCTTCTATTAATTTCAAAGAAGTTTTAGACATAGGCGTACCAAAAGACATGGATTATAAAGAAATTTGGACCCCATACGGTCATCATTGGTGGGTTTGGGATGAGAAAGAAAAAGCTATTATACCAATCTATTATGGACCTCCGTCAAAACCTAAACCAGAAAAAGATGATGGTATATTATATTCAGGATGGATATTCATAAAGGAAACAAGTTCAACAGTTATTGAATTTTTCAAAACTATTTTCAGTCCTTTAGCAGACCTAAAATTCCAAAGAGGGATGTTTAGAAAGTAGTATAAAAAGCGAATTATCGAACATATTTTCATCTCCTTGACTCATTCTTTTAAAATTTATCAAAAATGAACAATAATAAAATTCTCACACGACAAATTTTACCTGAAGTAGAAATTAGTATTAATTTGAACGGAATAACAATTTCAAGTGACCGTTTAACTCCTTCTCGTTTTGTAGCGTATGATATTGGGGGCAAGTGTCGTGAATGTAAAAGTACAGAAGTGGAGTTGGATTTTGTTGTCACTAAAGATGGGATTACAATATATTGCACACGTATTTCAGGAACTCGTTTTGTACCTTTTGATTCAACTTATGAGTTACCAGGAATATGTTTCTTTCGGGTATTTATTTTTAGCCGTTATCTATTAATTTTATAATTTAAGATTAAGAACAAAGGTCGTGTATTCAATATTCCATATGGCTCTGTAAAACCACAACTACCACTTCAAACTCAACAACCGATACAACCAGTAACTCTAAACAAACAAACTACAATATCAGAAAAACAGAATAAATCAAAGCAAACCGTTAATTCACAAAAAACAACAAAACATACAAATGAAAATATCCTCAAAGACAAAGCTACAGAGATGGAAGAAGAGGAGATGGTTGCTATCGAAGCATTATATAACATACCTCGTTAATTTTTCTTATTTAAGCAAAAATTTTTAATTTTTTTCAATTAATTCAAATGGAAACTTTAACATTTTCAGATAAAGATTTGAAATTTAAAATTCCTTTTGGTATGATAATTTCTGGTCCCAGTTCTAGTGGAAAGAGTACATTATTACTGAGATTTATTTCTGAAGCCTCAAATTTAATTGAACCCAAACCTAAAAGTATACTCTATTGTTTTGGTGAAATGAGTAATATTGTCCCTATTCTACAGAAATCAGGTGTCAGTGTTTATTCCGGTGTTCCCCCCGAGGATTTGATTAAAAAATATCAGAAACCATTACTATTAATACTTGACGACTTGCTTATGTCAATTGATGAAAAATATTTGTCCGAGCTATTTACAAAAAAATCCCATCATCAAAATTTTGCTGTCGTCTTTGTTACTCAGAATCTATTCGAACGTAAAATTAAAGTTGCAAGACAAAATGCTCAATATATTATTATAATGCGTTCTCCTAACTCTGTCTTATCTGTTCGTAATATAGGCGTTCAACTATTTCCCCAAAAACTCGACTATTTTCTCGATGCATATAGACAGGCAACAAATAAACCTTTTGGTTATCTTGTTATTGATATGCATGCTTCATCTGACCCTGGACTGAGACTACGCACAAGTATATTTAAAGAAGACGAAGAAAAAATTATTTTTATCCCAAAAAATAGAGCATAAATGGTCAGTCAAATTATTCAGAAAAATTCAAAATTTTTACAAGTTCTTGCAAAAACAAGATCTCAACGCAAATTGCAACGTATGCTAAGACTCTCAAATACAAATCAGTTGTTAGCTATAACTGAAATTTGTCTGAATATTATAAAGGATAGACTCAAACTTACAAATTTTCAAAAGAAACGACTACTTCCATATGCTGATTTTGTGCGGAAAATGAGTAGAGTAAGAAGTGAACACGGAGCTAGAAAAATTATAAATCAAAAAGGTGGAGGTATTGGAACTTTTGCTGCGTTATTGACCCCTGTTCTCATAGAATTAGCAAAATCACTTGGAAGCTCTATAAAAAGCGATAAATAATACAAAAAATAACAAATCATGGCAAATAAATTCATTCTTGTTCCCGAAGAAATTTATAAAGGACTAACTACATTTGATACCGGTGAACCTAATCTCGATTTAATTAGAAATGATCTTGAAAAAATTAAAAGAAAGAAAGATAATCCAAGTGCAAAAAATGTAAAATATAACCAAGAACTCAGGCGGTATTTACAAATGAGAAATGAGCAACAAAATAGGCCTGTCAAAGTAGAAATGGTAGCTACGCCTAAGGGAGCAATAATGAGTACCAATTCTACACGTCCATCGTCTAACATAGTCGAAGATGATGATGAAATATTGACAACTGATGATATTTCTCTTCCATCTTTTCCTCAATCTACTAAAGATGTTAAATCGATAATTAATTTCAAACCCCAAAAACTACCTCATCCTCCATCTTTATCATCATCATCCACATCAGTTAAAAAACGTTTTAAGAAATTGAGGGATAGCTCACCACCTTCTCCTCCAATACCTCCAACTACAAATCCTAAAATAATAAAAAAGGAAATTGTGTCTGAACCAAAGAAAAAATTTTCAAGACGCAAAAGTACAAAATATTCAAAAACAGGGAGTCAAGACTCTATTATATTATCCCAAGATGTGCCAATAATATCACCTCATATCTCACCTCAGCAACGAATTATTAAAAGAGAATTAGAGGAGGGTGATTTTGAAAGTATAAAGAGGAAAAAGATATATGATAAAAGAAGGGAACAAGAAATAAAGCAAAAAGAGAATAAATTGAAGGAACACGATAGGAAACGATATGAAAAAAGGCAACAATTATTAGCAAGACGACGAAAGTCACAGAAACTCAAGGTTCCAATAGATCCTTATGTTATTCAACAAGTACGAAATAAAGAAAAAAGTGGTGCACCAAAAGGCTTTAGAAAAGTCATGAGAGAGGGAAGATCTCCTTCCCCACCCTTGAGTCGTCAAAAAATAAAACGAAAAGCAGAATGGTCACAAGGAGATGGACATACAATTGCTAAAGTCCAGAGAAAAGTTAACAAAAAACAATCTCAAAGAGCTTCAAGATTATGGGTTAAAAATCTGAAGAAAAGAAATGTTTATAAATCAAAAAGTAAATGGGCAGTAAGGAAACCGACACAAAAAGATATCATCAGTTTTAAACCATCTCTTTGGTAAATAAATGGCGGATTATACTAAACTCCTTGATGATCTATACAATAACCCAGAATCCCCTGCGGCATTTTCAGGAATTGACCGACTTTGGTATGAAGCACGTAAAGTTCTCAAACATATACCAAGAAAAGCTGTTCAACATTACCTAGAAGGACATAGAACATATACTCTTATGCGACCTAAACGTATTCATTTTAAAAGATCAAAAACTGTAGCTGCTGGGTTTATGACAGATGTTCAAGTTGATTTGGCAGATTTCCAACAGTTATCCAGAAATAATAAAGGAAATCGTTATTTGCTTCTAGGTATTGATGTTCTATCTAAACGAGTGTTTGGTGTTCCTGTCAAGTCCAAAAAGACTGAAGAAATGATAGAAGCTTTTAAAAATTTATTTTCACAAATGCCAATGAAACCTCAAAGGATTTTTTCAGATAAGGGGACCGAATTTAAAAATAAACAAATGAAAGAATTTTTTGAAAAGGAGGGGATAGAAAAACATGAGCCAACACATTCTATCGTCAAAGCTTCCGTTGCGGAAAGAGCAATTCGTAATGTTAAACAACGACTTTACCGAAATTTTGCTCAAAAGAAAACATTAAATTGGATTGATGTCCTTGAAAAAATTTTAGAAGGAATAAATAAAGCAAAAAGTAGAATTCATGGAATGCGACCTATAGATGTCAATTTTGATAACGCTCAAAAAGTATGGAAACGAATCTATGGAGACATATTTTCTTCAACTAATAATAATAAAATAAAACCAAAACTCAAAAAGGATGATTTTGTACGAATGAGCGTAAATAAAGGTGCATTTGAAAAAGGATACATACCAAATTGGGGAGATGAAATATTACAAGTGGATAAAATAAAAGAAACCCCTTTACCTATTCAATACAAAGTGCGGGATGATAAAGGTGAAAAGTTCAAAGGTTCATTTTACAACGAAGAGTTAACTCGTGTAAGAAAGGATGCCGATACAGAATATAGAATTGAAAAAGTTGTGAGAAAAAGAAAGAGACCAGACGGAACCTTTGATGTTCTGGTTAAATTTATAGGATACCCAGAACGAGAATGGATTCATGAATCACAATTAGTATAAAAGAAAACATTTTTTTCATTATTGTAAAAATTTTTTGTGATAAAATTATGTCAAACAGCTTTTTTGTCTTTCTACCTAGTAATATTCCCGATTATCCAGATAATCGTCCAAATAAATTTCGTGTTCATTTACCAAAGCCTCTCTATTTTTCTGGTAACTGGGTCTGTGGATTACATAGTATAAATTATCCATATTCTTGGGCAGCTACTATTGGTACACTAGATGATCAATGGATTGATATACATTTTAAAGATAATCTTGGAATGGCCAAAGTTCTAAGAGTCCCCGTTCCAAAAGCATCGCATACAACTGTTGAAAAATTACATGAATTTTTAATTTCCACACTTCAACATCAAAGCGAAACATATGGAGCTTCGCCTTTGGAAAAACCTGAAGATTTAGTTGATCTGCCCTCACTTAAACGGCCAAGAAATAAACGTTCATTAGAAGAGTTAAGGCAAATTAGAGTGGGGATCATTCCTAAAGTTGATGAAGTGTTCATAGATTATCCTGATCAATATTGGGACCAAATAAAAATTTTAAAAGATAAACTTATAGAGGATTCAAAATCTTTAGATGAATTTAAATTAAGAACAGATCAACAACAAGACGAGACAATTAAAAGTGAAATGACAACAACATTTTGGAACCTAAGTTTCAAAAAGAGTGCTTTAGGATCTCGAATTAGAAAATTGGAAGAGGAAGCAAAAAGAAGGGATTTTGAAAAGAACAATTCAGATGTCAACATTGTTGTTGATTTTTTCGAAACTTATCCTGAAAATTACAATGAAATATTAATCATAGACCATCTAAAACTTATAGCTCTCTTCATAGAAGACAAAAAGGAAACACCGTTACAATTAGAGGGATTTTTACCAAGATTCAAGAAAGAAATTGAAAAAATGACTAGGAGAGTAAATTTACTTGATGCTGCTGTGCTAAGAAGGGACAAACAAAAAACTGTTAAACAATATAATAAAGAGAATTATTTAACCCATAAAGGTTATGTTGATAAATTTTTCAGTGATAACCCTGATTTTTGGCCAGCAATACGAAGTAATTTTTATGGGTTGATCGCTACATATCAGGAAATTTCTAATACAAAAACTTTGTATGATGAGGAAACAGATGAGGATCGAAGGAAGGAATTAAATACTAAAATTGATGGACTCAAAAGACTTGTCAATTATAGAATGGATAGATTTAGGGCACTTGAGTTTGAAGGAATTGCTAGAGATAAAGAGGCAGAAGATGAACCTTACAGGCCCCCACCTCTACCAACGTACACAGACATACACCCTCCAGCAACACCATCAACCCCTACCTCAATGACTACTCAACAACCTTCTCCTTTAAAGTCTCTACCTGGTTATACCTCTCCAACAAAACCTGTTTCACAAGATCAGCAAAAAGGAGAACAACCCCCTCTTCCACCTGTTATAATTGAGCCTCCTAAATCTATAGATATTTCAAAACCTTCACCGCTCCCTGAAACAACAACTCCTGTTCAACCTTCGCAACCTGAACCAGCTACCGAGGATCTTTCAAAACTTCCCCTTCTTCCAACCCCTGAAGAAACATTCAGTGATCCATTATGGACAGAAGAAATGGAACAGATATTAACAAAAATACTAGGGAGAACACCCACACGCCAAGCCCGAATAAATTATTTACCGAACATGCCCGCTCTTTTAAGACAGTATGGGCGACTAAAGAAGGATAAGGTTGATGCTTCAGTCCAAAAACAAATAATTGATTCGATAGAAATATTATATCACAAGGATTTTGAACGTTTTAAAGTACAATTTACTCATACAAGCATTAAATATCTATCATTTTCGCCTCAACTTGGATATGTTTTGGGGTTTGAAAATACAAATATGGTCCAAAATAGAGAAATTGCAAAGTATGGATGTGACTTAAGGGGTGGTTTTTCAAGTTTTGCTGTGTATACAAAAGGACTAACAGAAAATATGATAATTGGTAATAGTCTAAGTTCACTTTTACGTGTAGTCTCTGTGGCCGGTGCAAAACCTGGAGAATATAATGAAAATATCTATGATTCACCAATATATGCTCGTGTTTTACCAAAGGAAGTTAACGAAATTGAGATTGAAATAAGAACAATGGATAATGGTAGATTAGTACCATTTTCTTTTGGTACTGTGCTCATTGTCTTGATCTTTAAAAAAGTGATAAATTTTTGATTTTCTTTCAAAGTGTATATAAATAGTGTTTGTAATTATTTAAATTCTAAAATAAATTTTATTTATTAAAAAATGGTGCACGTTGTTTTTGATACAAGTACAGTAGGATATGACGATTTTGTCCAAAACAATCCTAATGAGATGTCCGGTGGTGGAGAAATATCATATGATTATTTTCGAGGGTCTTCCCCCTTCCAAAGAGGATATGGTATTCAAAAAGGAGCTGGAGTCGGTGATGTTATGCGCGGACTATGGCGTTTCTTTCTTCCTGTTCTTCGCAATGTTGGAAATACTGTAAAGTCAGAAGCAATTAACACAGGGCAACGCGTTCTTGAAAGAGTTAGTCAGGGTGAACCAATCAAAGAAGCTTTCATCAGTGAAGGAAAGAAGGGGGTAGATACTGTACTGGAGAAGGGAGGCCTACCTAAACAATTTGGTTCTGGATTTGTTAGAAAAAAGGGTATAAAAGGGAGAAAATTACCTAGTTATCAAACATTAATTGGCAAACCGATTAAAAAAAGAGTAAAATCAGACGTTTTTGGTCTTTACTAAAATGGCCTTTCACAAAATTGATAATGATAGTATAAACTCAATAACAAATGCTTTGGATTTTTTTCAAATTCCACCTACAAATGTAAGTATTTCATCATCCAAAGTCTTTGAAATTCTGCCAAGTAATCCACTCACCGATACACCTTACCATTTTAAAATTCACGCAAGTCAAAATTATATTGATTTGACTAAATGTTATTTATTTACTGAATTTCGAATTCGAAAAGAAAATGAAAGTGGACAACTTGTAAATCTTTCTGTCGCAGACAATGTTTCTCCTATACAGCTTATAGGACAGACATTTATTAATAATATGCGAATAAGTGTTAATGGAAGAGAAGTGTTCAATTCAAATTCCCTTTATGCTTATAAAACTTATTTTTCACATGAGCTCTCATATTCAC